CTCCCCCCAGTAAATCCGACCATGTAGTACATATTACATACATACAAAAATCAAAACATAACCTCCTGCAGGGCTTAAGAAATAGGCATACCGGCACGTACATACGATTGTACCATAGACGGATTTTCTGGGGGTGTGCAGGGGGGTGCTACCCCCTCCCCCAACAAAATATCCACCCCTCCAAAAAAATTTCAATCCCCCCAATATTCGGCATAATAAAAAATTAAATAGTCCACTCCAACGTGCAGAGTGTTGATGATACAAAATAAACGTAGGAGTACATTCGAACAGAAAAAGACAGTGCAACACTCTGAAACTAATCACTCCTCGCTTGCATTCACTGGTTTATTGGAGCAATTGTAAAGTTTTGAAACTCTTTTATCTTCCCTGAATAGAGTTTGCAGTGCCTTGTCATGTGAATAGCTTGCACGCAAGGAACATTTGGAATTTTTACGAACACTATTTTTAGTTTTTAATTCTTTTAGGAAATAGACTTGCCTAGATTTAATCTTCACGCCCCAAATATTATTTACATCGGAGTTGCATCATAAATTGTACTCGGATTCAAACAACACAATGTCAATCACTTTATAAAAGTAAAAGCATATTGTGTATTGGCCTATTGGGTTTACACTTTTACAGGTTCATTTAACTTTAACTTTAACTCTCTCAAGTCTCAACAGACAATCAGACATGCCAAATCCATTGATATGACAAATTGACAACTTCAAAAAACTTTTTTTCGAAGCTAAAAATCATGATTGTTTTTCAAATTTTTCCTGGGATACCTTGTTTTCTGCTCTCTAGACTCCCCCTCGTGGCTCTAGTGCTCCACACCTAGAATATAGATCTTACTGGGGTTTGGTGACACTTTGTGTTGCTTCAGTCACCTGCTCACGGCTCACCCCCCTAAAATTTCTGGCACCACCCCAGTAATAAATATGAAAATCCGTCTATGGATTTTACGCTGAAATTAGTTAAGGTATACGCCAGGAATCTCAGACAAGTATGATCGTGTGCACTTCCTACAGCAGAGTTGAACCGTTACCCCTTTCTGTTTGCCTTCAAATCCTTCAGACAATGAACAAACATTTGCTTCTAATCCTGAAATATCTATATATACAGGTATTTGCATTTTACAGTGCAAAGCTTTCGGTTATTTTTGGTGCAACTGTCATGTTTTGATGTGCCTTCATGCACGTTTCAGTATTTATAACAATCAAATATGAAACATTAAAAACTCTAGAAACATCGAGTTTACTGCTCGAATCCTGGACCCGCCGTCTATGTTACGTCATTTAAAGTCAGCATTTCAAACATACGTCAACTTAGTACAGAGCGTACGACCTCGTACGGTATTTCTGATTTATTTTTTAAGCCCTGACTCCTGAAAGAGGTAATAATCTGGTATGATCTGCCATTACCCGATAATTGTGATCCTTATGAATGCTCTTTCCAAAACATGCCATACACAAAACACATGTGTCATCAACAGCACAATCCCTGGTGAGAAAAGGGATAATTAATTTCACAGAAAACTTTAATGCACCATAGATTTTCAGAATCATGCTCAAACTAGGTTCGGAGCCGGGCGGTTCAGGGTAAAAACTGAAAACTGTCGGAAAAAACCCGAAAAAAACGATCTTTTTTAATGAAAATTTCCTTGTGAAAATTTAAAGGAAATTTCATAAAATAGTGGAAACACTGGGTAAAAAATATGGCGGCCATTTCGGTTGCGAATAACGAATATTTGGGTCTTATTTTCACTCATTGATTCTCTAGTACTCTATACTTCCCATTTTATCAATAAACTGCCAGACCCTTAGCTCAAACCCTGACAAATCCTACCTAGATCTCACAAATATATTTCCAAATTTATCTGGTCTCGTATGAACAAAGTCTTTGTTGGAAATCACAGGCTTGATCCAGACTGTAAAGTTTGGCCTGCGCTGGGAATTTCTGTCCACTCATTTTCAAGAAAATCCTACAAAATCTGCATATTTTTGATGAACTAATTATTTATTTTGCCTCTTGTGTGTTGGGCCTTGCAAAAATATGTAGAGAAAACTCTGAAAATGCCATTTAAGAAGATCTAGAGACACAACCGTGGTGGAACCTTGGGCAAACAAAAATATGTGGGTTTCCGGTTTCCTGACCCTACCTAGCTTTTGGATGCCGAAATCACGACCCTAAACTTTTTATTGGATCATGCTCGTAAGTGTTTCCACTTAGAGGAAAAATGGAAATTTGAGGCAATATTAGGGAAATTTATCTTTGAATGTGGAAGCACTGATTAAACAAAATGGCGTCCGGTTGTTAGGAAAATTTTAAACCCTACCTAAGTTTTTACAAGAAGAAATAGAAAACCCACATATTTTTTTTTTGCCTTGCGGAAGTTATGCAAACATTCTCAAATGTTCTGCCTTCATTTCCGCACAACTGCCATTTACGACGGAAAAGTTCCCCATGCAAAAATAATACTTTACAGTCCGGGCAAAGATTAGATACTATAAAGATGTGCCACTCGGCGTATTTCCCTAATGTTTGCGTGTCCGTAATTTTCACTTACTGCCAAAATGTTGGATTTTACTATTTAGAGACCGATGGCGTTGAATTTGACACTTACTGGCAAAATGGCGGCTATAAAAAAATCTCGGACATAATTTTCGCAGAGTGGCCATCTTTATAGTATCTAATCTTTGGTCCGGGGTTTGATTATCCCCCAAACTGTAATATGGCTTCTATACCTCCCCCCGGCTGTTTTCTAGGGTGGCTATTTTCTAGGGTGGCTATTTTTTTTTGGAGGGGGACACCTGTCAATCTATCCATTATATCCCTTCAATAACATCCTACGTTGCATATCACAGAAATAAATACTCGATTTTTACCTGCAAGAATACGTCGGCTCGCTGTTTTTAAACACTCGACCGCACAGTGTAGGTGGATTACTTAGTTCTGACAATTTTAATCTGCCTTGAACAGGCTCTTCAGCAAACAAGAACCACTCGATTGCATCAATAACAATTTGTTGAACTAAGTCATCTTTCAGAGATATAACTAGCACGGGATCTCGAGTGATAGTGTACGATTTAATAGCACCATTTTTAAGACAAGATACGATGGCCTTCCTCAAAACCACTTCACGGTATTCTGAGCAAGTTTGTTCAAACGTTCGTCGCCATTCTAGGCCTTTTGCAGCGCTATTTGCTTCCATTATTTACGATGACGTGATATCAAGTATTTCAATTGTCCTCCCCTTTCCATTTCTGCGTAAATTCGTGTAGAAATTGAAGCATTTTCATAAAAATTTTTGTGTTTTCAACATTTTAATTTCGTTTTGTGACTGTGTATAATTATTTAATATTTGTATACATAATTACATATACAGTAACACTGATCCAAATATTTAACACTGAACTATATATTTCTAAAACACTGATCTATATATAATATACTTTACTTTTTATGAAGTGCAGTTCCCCTCCAAAAACAACATCACCCCCCCCCCCTTACATCGCGATAACTTGCCCAGGGGCGGATCTAATGGTTTGTCTTGTTTCATTTGCAGTTAACTAGACTGTACGTTTTACTCAATGAAATTTGGGGGCAGATAACCGGATCTAGCCTCATCTGCAACTGAAGGGTGCAAGTTTTCCATATGAGAGAGCCTTACTGCCCACTCTCCTCTGCAGTCTGCAACGCTACTATATCCCAACATTACCATTATTTGAGATGGCCGAATCTGCATGTTCGCCGTTCTGTTACGTTTTACATTATCTTTTATTTATATAAAGTTTATATCGGCTTTTTATCACCTGATGCGTGATTGGACAGTTGCTGTAGCACAGTACAGTAAATTTACTTGTTAAAGTATAGTATATTTGAAAATATGGCTGTTTAACAACCTCGATATATTTTCTGTGTTGGTGAAATGTACTATAGGCTAGTATTCCAAATGTCGTAGGTTCGCGACGATTCCCACCGTGCCTTTCTCACACCGCCATTTTTGGGTGGCTTTTCAGCCGCAGTCTGCGAGATAAGTCCACATAACAGCGACTTTTTATAACCTTTTGGACGAATGATGGTAAATTTGCTTTGTAAATGGTTAGTTTATTTTGAAAAATTGCTTTTCACATTGTTCTAATTGTCTGCATTGGTTGACGAGAATTAGATGCCACCCAAAAATGGCTGATATTCGTCATCGTGAGAAAGGCTAATTAAAGCATAGAGATTATAAGTGTTATTTATATAAGCTCTATGAATTAAAGCACATCTCTCGCGACTGTCTACTTGCCACTAAATGCAAGACTACTACCACAAACAATGCAAAGAAAAAATGTCGTCGTTGTTGCCAAGTAAAACGACCCACAGTGCATAGCACTTGTCACTTAAGTGGTTTCCGGCGAAAACCAAAAAAAACTTTGTCCTTCAATTCTCATTGCATCAGTCAACTTTTATTCAACATTCGCTTTAGCTTCGGTAAGTTATTGTCATTCGTGTACATTAGAAGCGCTGCAAAGAATATTTAAATCCGTTTCCTTCCTGGGAAGTTCTTCAGCCAAACGTATTGGGCGAGCTATGAATCATCTTTGCTAAAAATAAAATTGAATGTTGAATAATGACGTTGGGCACATTGTAATTTTGGAAGTTTAGCATCGGAAAAAAATTTAAATAAGTGGAGACAAAAACGTATACACAAGAAAAAATCTCACATCTTGCACCAAGTCTGCCAACAAGCCGTCAACAAGTTGTGTTCGCACTGCTTGTCACAAGTTGTCAACAAGTATAGAACAAGCTGTAAACAACTTGTAACAACCCTCTTGATACAGTTACAGTCATGATATAGTAATATTGTTATAACCTTGCGTCGTCAAACTTAACCTTCTTGTTATATCATGACTATATCAGACGGCTTGTATTTTGCAAGGTTGTTCCAACAAGTCCGATACAGTCATGAATATGATATAGGCATATAGCAATATTGTTACAACCTTGTGTCGTCAAACTTGTAACATTCTTATTTCTTAATTGTTTAGTATATCATGCCTTGACTGTATCCGACTTGTTAGAACAACCTTGTAACAAATCTGATAATGTACAAGTTTTACTGATAACAACAACATTACCTGAAACTGTCATTCCAGATCATTTGTAACTGTCGGATCTGTAATAATACTTTGTCTGTCAGTGCGTTTCATTGGGTCGTATTTATAATTCACGCTGACACGATCTTTCGTCAACTTCTTAGTTTTATTTCTGCGATTAATCCACCACAAACAGATTCCAACGAGCACGGCCAGGAAAAGGAACGCCCCCGAAACAGCAAGTAGAACGAAAACGATTTTCGGTGCGCCAGATTCATCATCCTCTTCCGCGTCTTCCTCGTCTGAGAAAATAAATAAAAGGATAAACCCAGGACCTTTTTATAACTATATAACCCCTCAGTGCCCCCAAGCCCTAACACAACGTCTCTAACTCCCGTGGGGCTTTTAATTATTTATTTCTTTTGTACGAGATCAGGAATATCATTGTGTGAGTAGCCGTCGTCGTCGCGTTGCCGTCCTGTTTGCTTAAGGTGCCTATTAAGTCGGTTTCCAAATATTAAGTCGGTTTGACTGTACTGGTCTTCAAGAGTGGCTTGAAATTTCGGAAATAGCGTTTTCAGTTATATTCATTTTACCACAAATTTCCACACTCACCGATGTCTGTTACGGAAGAGTCATCTTCCATAAACAAGCTGCTTTTCTGTGTCGCTGCTTTTCTGTGACGTATCAGTCTGTTTGTCGTACAAGTGTGATTAGTTCTTGTCCATCTTTTTTCTTTGTTATTTTGCAACATTGAATGAATAAAACATAACTTAGGAAACGCCGTGATCCAATGAACATCACACTTGAATGATTTGATGTCATACTCGCGAAATCCTCGTAGACACACGCGTTTATCATAAATCCCAGCGGTACACGCAAAGTTACGTGCTAAAAGTTTAGCAATATTCAATGTGCTTCCTTCGTGGTCAATAACGATGCCTCTAGATTTCTTTGAGCAGATGTCTTTAAATGTTGTAACCGCGACAGGTGTGTCTAAAACATATTGGAATAAGTTAAGGCCACTCCAAAGTAGACTTTAGTTTTCCCGTCCGTCCCAAATCGGATCCGGTAGGGCGGTCTATATATTTCCATTGTCATGCATTATAGTGTCTGAAAGTATCTAACACGACACATTATTTGTATCCACACCGAGCAGGCTGAAAAGTTTATCCGACCACAATGGGAATCGAACCCGTGACCTTTGCCATACTAGTCCAATGCTCTGCCAACTGAGCTACAAGACCAAGTCTGTTCGAGAGTGTGGTATTTCGGAAATAAGTCTAGTACCTTCGCCACCAATGTGTTCTTATAATCATGATATTTTTGTGTGTGTTTTGATGTTATGTACTCAGGTGAATATAATGTTTCTGATGTTATATACTTTAAAATTATGAGTCGTCTTATCTTGAGCGTCTTATAGGAAACTTAATTTATTGCCTATATCTTACTGGCTTGAAATAAAGGATCTCATCTTTTTTTTCAAATGCAAACAAAGTCTCCACGATCTAGATATCTCCTCTTTTGTCACCTTTTCGTCTAATCGCTTGTCCCGAGTATCCGTTGAAGCAAGGACAACTTGCATGTAATGTACACTATAGTCTATAGTGGATCGATACTATATGTCAATGAAAGAGAGACTTGGAGCAAGTCTAGGCATGAATTCGTGCCGCAAAACCTCTCTTTTTAGAAACTCTTCAGTTTTAACCGAATTGT